CCCCCACGACGTCGTTATCACTATAGCCCAGACATACAGGGGAGCCGCGCCACTCCGTGGCGCGGCGGTTCATACAAACACATTAGCAAGTTGATACATGTTTTTCGTTATCCCAATAACACGCGCGAAAAGTGGCATGCAACGAACAATATCAAATGACAATTTTGATTAGATTTGATATAAATTAGCACACAGGTTGATTAATTCACTAAACTCTATCGAGACACAAACACAATAAGTCTTAAATAAATTTGCCAATACTTTTTCTTTGCCATCTTTTGTCTGATTGACGAGATGGGTACTCTTCCATATACAGTTGTCGAGTGGACATCCCTTAATTTAATAACGCTGGCAAGCAGCGAATACTGGGGACCACTCATTGAATCTTTAAAATGATAAGTGTATGCCAAATTACGGAGCTTGTTAGGTATCAGTAGAGAAGATTGGTCCTTAATGTGGTATTAAACAGTAAAGATGCAGTAAAAGTTGACCATAGTTAATGATGAACCTGCCCCGGCGCGCGCTACATCGTAGCACTATGCCACGCGAAGAAAGCGTGTGCGCGCTACATCAAAGAAATTTTAGGCGATAACATCCCAATAAAGTAAAAGTAGCAGTAAAATGAAAGAAGTCCACAGTTCTTTTCTGCTAGAGAGGGTGAGAAAAACCCCAAAAAAATATTTAATAATTGGAACAAACTTCCCTCGGATGTCAAAATTTGGGGACATGTGTTAAGTTTAAAATAGTTGAGAGGCTTTTAAAAAAACTATATTAAACGGAATCTGTATAAATGATATTATTTTTGTATGTATTCGATGAAATATATACAATAGGAGAAGATTGATGATTACAATTATGCCTACTAATTAAAGAGAAGCACAATGAATATCTTGGTGTAATCCTCAAGTTGCTAAAAAAAACGCTTAAACAACTTAAATAGTTAGTGGAAAGTATGAAAATTAGATTCATTTTAACTTTATTTTTTTTACAGAAGAAAAGAATATACAAACAATTACACAAATATAGCAATGGCAATTGCTGACTATAAGGTCATGGCCTGAACTTTAATATGTCAAGTGATGCTAAAGCAGAGACACAAATATGAAATAAGTTAATAATAAAAAATACTGATTCAATGATTAAAATTATAGCTGACCATGAGTGTCATAAATTACTGTGTCAAAAAAAATAAAAAAAAGATGTGAAAAATAAATTGATTTTTTGCTAGGGAAAAAATAAGGTCAAACAGCTGATAGTGAAAGGTATCCATACAAAAATTTCACCACACTTTAAAAAGAAATATAAAATTAGTTCAGGTAACTTGAGATGATTGATGGATAGCTACACGCAATCAAGAGAACAATGCCCATAACTTATAAATAGTTCCTACACTCCGGAATACAGTTTAAGTAGGTATCAAATTTTGCTAGGTTGTAAAATGTTGTCTTAATCGGAAATTGAGTGCGAGATATCTAACAGTCTGAATAAAGTACTGAATCTGTCAGCAAGCGTGGCTACTTGTTACCAAGTACTCAAGTTTATAGAAAATAAATATTTGATTAATTACGATAAATTATGTTGAAGACTGTTGAACATGCGTCAAAAGAAACTTATTACACAATGAAGTGTGACCTGTCTGGTTATTACAACTTTGCAGCTTCAACCATGTGCTGTACAGTACTAACGTAGATAGGGAGAAGACAGCGAAGGTAGCAAAACTGCGAACTGGAAATTCCTGAATCTACTAATATGGCAATGTTTGGGTACATGTTACCGGACTGGATACTTGTTGTGTAATGTAGGTGGGAAGCCAGGATTTACATCTGTGGTATGATGGCAAGATGAATGATGTCAAGAGTAAAATAGGAAACTTATGTAAGACACGCTCTCTGACTACGTACTAGTGGATGCACTAGGGGTTTCAGCAACAGTCACAAAGTCTTCCTTCATCTGAATATTTATTGGCTCGGGTTCCTTAATCAGGCCATAACAGCAACTGATGCGTTACAGACCCAGCTCAAATTAAAGTAACAATAGTTACTAATTATTGTTCATTATTTAGTCGTTGATACTATTGAACTTGACGTCCGACTGTCGCCAAACACTGAAGAGTTCTGAGGGTTGTTTGGACAAAGTTTAAGTTTTGAAAGGGTCAGTAAACTATTGCCCAGCACTTGACAAGACCTTGTTAAACGACATATTTGCATAAAATCCTGACCCGCCCATATCCCCCAGTCCAATTATGTAAATTAAGTCGGGATACCATTCTCGTTCATTAGGGTGATCTCCTGGTGTAATTATGTAATTATCACTAATTATGACTCAGTTTCTGGCGACAGAACATGATATTGGCTGGGATTGGCTACCTCGTCATTATGCCAAGCTCAATTATCTTACTGACACAATTCACTGGACACGTGGAATCATGAACAAAGATAATAATTCCGCTCTCAGTGAGGAGGTTGATTAGCAGTTTACTGTTAAGGGGACTGGATATCCACCGAACTGGGCAGTATTGCCTACATTCCAGACGTTCTTGATGAACTTGTCTGAGAGAGAGAGAATGGAATATTCTGCGTAAAATATGAACCAGAACATATGCAGTCAACCTTAACGTAACTACATGGTGAAACTTTAAATTTGAAACGATTAAGGATTTAAAATATTTTTGTCTTAAGAATTTATTGTAGCGACGACTCACTGAAACAGTATTATTTTGTAATATTTATGTTTTTAAAAATTAAAATACTACTGACTCAATCAACTTGAATCCCCCCACTGGCTTTTCAATTTCATTAAATTACGTTGGTAAATAACCAAAAAAGGCAAAATTCATTTTTTTGGGCCGGCAACGAATTTTTGACAAATGTTAGTTTTTTTTTTTATATATAATCTGGAAAAAACCCTTGAAATTTTTTTTGTTTAAAACTAAAAGTTCCCCCAAATTTTTTTTAATACCCCCCCTTTAATAAAAACCCCCCTTTGTAACCAAAATTTTACAAAAACCTTTTTGGGGAAAAACCCGAAGGGCACCTACGTCCCGTAAAAAATGGGGGGGGCCGAAGGGCCCCCCTCCGGCAGAGGTTTTTTTCAGGCCTTTAAAAATCGAAAGGCCCTGCAATTTTTTTTTTAGTTTTAAAACAATTAATTTTTTTTTTCCCCCAAAGATGAAACAGGAATTAAAAAAATATTATTTTTGAGTTTTTTTAAAAATTTTTTCAAAAAAAAATTTTGCCAAAACTTTTTAATACGAAAAATTCCCTAAAAAACCCAAAAAAAATCCGGGCCTATTTCAGGGTTCCCCTTAAAAACCATGGTTAAAATTGGGGATCTTAAATTTTTTGCTAGCTTTACCCCAAAAAATTAAAAAAATTTTTCAAACAGGGCATCGGAAAAAAGGGGGGTTTTTTTTTTTAGCCCCCCAACCACAATTTCCCCACTTTTGAAAAAAAATAAAACCAAAAAGGCCATTATTTTCAAAGATTTAATAATAATATTTAAGTTCTGGGAATCATGAACGCAACAAACCAAAGTGTCATTGGTAGAAACCACAGAAAGTGTAATGAACCTTATATTAAACAATTTGTATCACTTCAAACAGTTCAAAGAGAGTGAAATTGGCTGGCAGTAACAGCTGCTCCCATCTCTCCGGTCATGATAAGTGTTAAACACGACAGTATAAACGATAAAGACGGGTCGGGATGGCATGTTTCAATTTCAACCGCCTCAAAATCTATTAGTTGAGTTGTTAATCGCTCGGTGCAATGATTAGAAACCTCAAATGTGGTAACGCTACTAAAATATATTATAGTATTAAGAGTTGAACCGTGCCGTTAAACTTAGCAGTGACAAAGTCAAATGAGGAACCAGATGTTTACCAGTATTACTATTAGTCGGAAATTCCACTAGATTATTATCAGACAAGACTAATGGTACCTTTTACGCGGACGCTAGTCCAGGACCTTGACACTCTAAACAAAGCCATCCTCTAAACTTGTGATTGACTTAACTAAAATGAAAATGTAGCTGGCAATATCGCGACAAATAACTTAAAATAACTTAAAACAAGCATATGGCTAAAGAATTATATAGAGGCCGCATAGTTGCCGTATCGTGGCCAAACCTAATCTCCCAAAGAATTACGTTGAAAGAATCCGCATTCCACACCATTCAATCTGGTTTTTTTTTTTCAACTGAGCATTTCACGATATTACTAGCTACATTTTCATTTTAGTTTAACATTTGTAAGCACTTTCTACGTTATTTCTAGTTATAATGTAGAGATTTATTTTAACTGATGTATTTTGTTCTATAGTGAGCGGAGACTCTCATTTCTTCTCGCTTGCACTCCCCAGTAATCAATCATGATCGAGTATCGACCCATATACCACCCAATAGAGCGAAAAACGAAACATACAATTATGCGATTATTGGATTTTGACAGAATTATCTGTACTAATAGTCAACTGGGGGGGTACCAATGGCATAAATGGCATAATGGAGAATTGGCCAATAAAAATTTCCATTTATGCCATAAAACGTATTATATTTATGCCATTTTCGATATAATACATTTCTATTTTCTTTATTTGTCATATGAATCTTTAACAATCATTCCAAGCGTTATAAAGCATGAAACATGTCTCTTATTCAAGTACTAATAATAATTTGCGAATTTAAAGTCAAATATGAAGACCTAAATTCATGGCATAAATGGAGAATTGGCCAATAAAAATTTCCATTTATGCCATAAAACGTATGTCATTTATGCCATTTTATGCCATTGGTACCCCCCCCCCCCCCCCCCCCCCAGTCAACTCTCAGAGCGACAGAGCCGAACATATTATCAAATTTATTATCATGACAAAACATTAGTGATTATAATTAACAATCTACAGAACGCCAAAAATTGTCAAATTTCTTTATCTGAATTGTCTCAGGTGAGGACAGTATCTGACTGTCAACAGCTTGAACATTCTTTTTGACTTCACATACTTCAGGTCCGAGTGACACTGGAATCTGTGAACCTAGAGAAAAGTGTGGGCTGCACCAAGGACTCTCTCTCATTTTACGACGGTAAGATGATAGTTACAGATTTAAACTGCTCGACTGGAAGATATTATTTGTGCCATCATCAGGAAATTAACTTTTGGTATCCCTTTATTAAAATATTGACAGTTATTTATCTGAGTGAGAGATTGCTTGTCGCTCTGATAACTGTCCCAGCTATTTCATTTTATTGGCTAAATTCTGATATCATAGCTCATTTAATACCAAAATTTATTTACCATATAAAATTTACCTCTCATCTGTCAAATGATTACAAAATCGGTGACGATCCCAAGATTTCTAATCTCACTAGAATAATGCATAAGCCATTATTTACGTGATTCGTGTTACGACTTCCACCACCACCACCAAGCCTGCTTACATTATCCCTTAAAAATAAATTACCCCTCAAATACTCCTAAAACCGATACCTGAAACCGATACCTGAAACCGATACCTGTAACCGATACCTTTGTTACAGGGACTATGATATCAGCAGACAACCTGATCTACACTTCATGTGGAAGTGAGGGGATAGTAAAGCGAGCACTACGAGAGGTGGAGAGTTCCAGTAGTGTCATGACAATAAGGTTTATCAGCGACGGAGACGGGACTGGTGCAGGGTTCCGGCTAGGATACGCTGCCTTCAATCCAGGTTAGTAGTTTAATTAACGTGCATATCTCCCTTTGTGGTGCAGGTGTTTAGCCTGTGGTGAGTTATAGTCTGTAAGTTATAGACCCTCAGTACTTGGCCTGAGAGAGAATCAGTACGAGCCCTCTATTCACCATGTCACCAAACTCGGTGTGACGAGTCTATCTTGTTTGATAGCATATTCAATAAATGAAACTGACTGTTAGTGTCCATTCAAAGATGCGTTCTAACTCTAACCAGCTAAAAGTAAAACCGCTCAATATTTCTGGTTTCGTGTAAATATCACGTGACAGTCAGTAGTTTAGACTCACAACTCAGCCGGTACCTCACTCTCAGGTGGCGCCAGTTCAGGTGTGATAGCGGCAGCGGTTGTGATCCCTCTCTTGCTACTCCTCATATTGGCTCTCCTTCTCTTTCTCTACTGCAAATACTGGAAGCCCAAGGAAGAGGTTTACGAGCCTCATAAGGTTAGTGGTATCTGATGTGAGAGTTCAGGATAATCTCCCAATTATTATTAAGTACATTGTACAAACAAGCTGAAAATTTTAATTTTATGACATTATTCACAAATTTGTTTTTAACCAACGACGAAGCCATAATTTTGATTTGGGGATAAAACTCAATTGTAGACAGTTTTTGGACCAAGATGAGTGATGAGAGTCCAAATGCGAAATCCCAAGAAACTTCTCGAAAAATAGACCTTTATGAATGAATCTAGCGAAGTAGGCAGCTATGGAGTTTTTACTTTTGCCCAATCTATGTCCATAGGACTTGTTTACAGTATTGAGACCTACACAAACAGGGCAGTCTCCCTCCTAATCTCGATCAATATTCCTTCCTTCAGTGACATGTATTTTATAATATTGACACAGTCTGGTCTCTGATATCTCCTAAAATGGTGGATGTTTTAGGCAATCTCGTTGGTATATCTTGCCGGCCATTTTAATTACCAGACGTGTAGGTTGCAGGGTCTCGTAGCTCATTGGATGAGAACTCTTGCCTTTAAAATAACTCTGTGCGGTATCCAAGCCTGTCCGACTACCTGTCCTTGTTTATCACGGATCTGTGGTCGCTGTCCAGACAGTGCCAAGGACTAGCAATTTTCTCAGGAGCTTAAATCGGATATTGAACTGCCACAACCAAAATAATACTGGGATTTATGATGTTAGTAATGGCCACATTTTACTACGAGGAAATTTAGATGCAGTGGCAAAAAGACTTCCCAAAGGTTGGCGTCATCCGTTAAAATATGATAAATGGCATGCTGTAATAAATCGTTGGTACGTCAACTATTATAATCCAATAATACCTTGTTATAATAGGAAATCTTACGAGATTCCTGTGAGATTTGTAACTGTCAAGATCAGAGACAAGAAACTCCTCTGAAACTATCCTAATATATTATATCATCGAGATGCTTTTATATAATTACAACAAAACGGCCAATAAAGCATGATAATAATTAGTTGGCTTTGTTTAAATTTCTCCTGATTTGCCGGAATACTATTTTACTGTACTTCATGGTGTCACACAATCCCCGCTTTATATTTTAATAATAGTAATACGGTGATCACTTCATGAACATGGCTAATAACATTAAGAGTGTCCATTGTAATTTTATCGTAAAAATCCAAACTATGTACGGGTTTACTTTTCATTATACAACGGATACAGTTACTCTTGTCAAATTTCTAACGCGGTAAATAAAACTAAAACAAAAGCTACGAATAATAATAAGTTCATATAATCTAGGATTTCAAAACAATATATTTACTTTCCGCGTGACATTGATTATGGTCAGATCATGATATCCTCGGGAAATTAGATTATTATATTTTCTCCCAGAAGGAATTATTTTCGTCATTACTGATTATCTAATCAGATTATCGGCAAGTCATCTCAGTAATCAGGCAAGGAGTGAATCTATCCAAGTCGGGGAAGTCGCGAGCCGATTAAACTAAAGTAACGTCACGTGACGTCAGCCCCCAAACTGCTATCATGCTTATTTCAAACTACCAACAAAAGTGTCACGTCATGACTAACCCCCTCCTCCCCAGAATTTCCATTGGAAGGATGGCGGCGCAGTGGACAATGCTTACTTCCACTTTATTGCTAACGGTGGCAGGAAACCTCCACAGTCAATGGCTAGTAAGCTTCAGGTAAATCCGATAATTTTTTGAGACAGTTATATCAATGCGAGTTTAGATCACATATTTAACTGGATTGAACTTTGATCTCCCAAACATCGAATAAGTAGGACTGTGTTCGATTAAAAAGTTTTGAAATGATTCATGATAAACATTTTTTGATTAAAAAATACAATATTGGATTGCTACTAGGGGACTTCTCGATCGTTATTACAAAAGAAGCGTTTCTTTTCAATGGGTTTGGTAGGTTAGCTGTGGTCTGTATAATGCTGCAGAAGGAAACACGCGCTATCACTTCTAAAAGCTACTTTTATTATAGTTACCACGCTAACTGCTAGTATTTTTGCTAATTAAACAGTTATAGCACTCAGTATTATCGCACTTGCATGCTAATACATACATGTTAACATGGCGAGATCTCCATCCAAAAAGGATAAGTCTGCGTCTCCTGCGTCATTACTTTTGGATTATACAATTCGGCGGGGTAATAATTTCCCAACCTTTTCGTCTGCAGCCAATCATCTCATACAATCAATCGTGAGTCCATTACGATCCAATCTCTGCTCAGCATCTTCAATAAATACATCATTTAAGCTCTTCCTAGGCCTGCCTCGTGATCGTTTTTCCATGCTTGGGTTTCCATTTCAAGTAGATAGTTAGGTAAACCGATCTTCCAGGCATTCTACTGACATGTCCAAAACAACGTAGCCGTTTTGTTGCTATTATGTCAGTAAGAGCAGTTTATTGAAGCCCCTTCTTAAAACATCTTCATTTCTTAACTCGATGAACCACCTCACTCTCAGGATTTTGCCAAGCAGTACAGATGTGAAGACTCTAACTTCTTGTCTGCACTTGAGTCGTGTTCCATATCTCACTTCCAAATCAGAATGGTAAGAACCCCCAGGCTGCGATGGTAATTCGCACTTTGTTGTTAAAGCATATTTCTATACTTCCAAATGTATATTGAGTTGGTTAAAACTCCGGTTGCTTTTCCAATCTGACACTTATTTCTTTATCGATCTTGCCAGCCGATGTAATTTTGCACCCAAATATTGAATTGAGTGACCTGCTTTGCAGAAGTTTCCATCGCCAGTAAACTTAAGGTCCTAATCTCTGGAGTGGGTGCTGCGACGTATCTATCCCCATAAACCATGATCTCTGTTTTCTTTGCTTTCATCTTTAAACCCCCAAGCCCACAGTATATCGCAATATGTCCGTGTTTCTTGCAGTCCCTCGACAGTGTCATCCATCCTGCTATGTCCATCACATAGCCAAAATCAATGACACATTTTTCCGGTTTGGTCCTGAACTTTGTCCTGTACTGAAAGAGTAAAACCACGCGATATATTTTTTTAGAACTTCTCGGCAAGTTCTAATCCCAGATAAGTACAAGGTGAAAATGGAGGCCCTTGCACATCACCTGTCCAGTCCCCGAATCGACATCAAAACATCTTTTCAATTCCCCATTGACACGAACTGGCACTTTCAGTTGCTCTAAAGAACGCTTTGGAAAACATTGATGGTATTTGTTGAAGACCATATGTTCAAAAGCTTTTCCAAATAAAGCACGATTGATTGAATCAAAAGCAGCTTTAAAATCAATAATAGTTTATATACAAAGGATGTTGAATACTATACAATTGTGTATTATACAATGAAGGAGTATAGCTGATCTATACAAGAACGGTTTCTCCTAAACCACAACTGATTTTTCCTCTAAGTAACTTTCAAGCCATTACTTAGTCGTTTTAACAACACGATTTGAAATTACTCGATACGGTGGAGCGTAGAGTTATCCCTCTGTTGTTGTAGTCAAATATTGAGGTTCCCCTTTCTTGGGATGATGGTGATTATTCCTATTCCTCCATCACTAGAATATCCTCAACTTTTCCAAAGTTCAAACAAATCTTTTTAACCAAGGCAGAAGTCCAGGAGAACCGTACGTTAACCTGCTCATTTGAAATTTCATCAAATTCCAGCACTTTTATTCGTCACTTTTTCTTGATAGATTCCCTCAATTTCAACAATGGGGACGGTGCTCAACATCATTACTAAGATATTCAAAAGAAAGTACCTTTTCGTCCTCAACCAATAGAAGAAATCCACCGGCAGCTGCTCTGGCACGACAAGAGTTCTTCAAAATATTCGGCCCACGATGTTACTGAGCTTCGGGATTCCTGAGATAAGTGTCCCATTCTTATCCCGCACTGCCGCAGATCTGTTTACTCCTCTGTTTGTAAGGGATTTTATTTTCTGCCAAACATCTCTTTGTTGACCTGCTTGGCAGCCTCTTCCCAGATTCCTCAGCTACTCTAACACCCAGGCATTATCAATCTCTTTTACAGTCTGCTAACAAACCGTTAATCTGCGAAGTACTTAGCACCGATTCTCAGCAGTACTAGGTTTCTTTTTAATCTCACCTCGTTCTTTTAGGAGATTCTTAGTATCCCTATGAGAATGTTCTGTTCTCTTTTCGGCCCCTTTCACCCAGAACTTCTAACGGAATATCAGTTATAATGTCTCTCAATTTCTTCCAAGTTCTTCTAAAGGGAGTTTCCAAGCTCCTGATCGTTTGAATAGTATTTTTCAGCATTTTGTTACTATAATCCCTGCCTTAGATCTATCACGCAATTCTCTAAAGCAGGCTGTCTTTTACACGCTCTTCTTTTCTGTGAACAGCTTAATAGATACATATCCTCTTACCAGGTAGTGAGTGAGTAATATATCTGCTCCTCTCATGCTCCTGACATCAAGCAATGAATTGGCTCCCATCCGTTGAATACAAATATGGTCATTTGAGTGGACGGTGTTTACCATTTGGGGATCTCCAGTTGTCTTGTGGATATTCTTGGTTTCAAAAAGTTGCCTCCGATCGTCAGCTGGTGCATAGTACAGAAAACTCAGCATCCGTTTTCCGTTATCATTTGGATTCTGTGTGATATGAGTGCTTTCCTAAACACCGATGGTGAGCAATCAGTGTCCCCTTCCAACACGAGCATTAAAATCTCCTAAAACTATTTTATATCAAAGCAGGTAAGTCCCCGATTGAACATCATTCAATTCCTTGTAAATGAGTTCCTTTTAAACAGATCTCTGCATCCCTCAGTTGGAGCATATACCACTGTAACACTAAATTTGATTGTGTTATGCTATGTAAACGGCATCATAACCCTCCTGATACAGGGGTGCATGATATGAGAGTATTCCTTAAATCTTTGGACAGTACAACCCGACATCCATCCGTCACGTACCCCATCATTCCTGCCAGAATACAACCAAAACAGCCCATTTCCAAAGTCTGAGTTCCCGATTCCAGCCATATGTGTTTCAGTTTACCCAAGGAGCTCTAGTCCATAAATCATCAAACCCATTTTCCAATTGATTCATCTTGCTGGAATTGTGACAAGAGAAGTAACATTCCATGTACTGACACAGAGAGATTTGCTTTTACAATATTTACAGGATTAGACTACTTGACTGTCTGTTTCCAAATGATAAATCTGATGAAAGGAATTCTGTATTTTACAGTGTTTTACGTCGGCTCTTACGGGAGTTTGCAAACAGACATCAAGCTACTATGGTCCTTCGGCTTGCTAGTCGCCGTCATCCACCCACCTGCGCCTCCACGTATAAAACTATTGAAGGACACTGTAGACTTTTCTGTTGCGGTTTTGATTTAAGGTGGAATGATTTGCCGGCCCTCGCACCCATCCAGAGGCAGCACCGACTTCAAAATGTTAAGCCCTCCGTCCGGACCCAGCATGCTTGGAGGTTTAGGTTCGATACTAAAATAAAAAGCTGCAGAGCTATCCAGAAGCCCTTAGGGAATCAAAAGTGAACCTTAAGTGATCATGTTTTGAGACACGATCACAAGCAAAATGCTCAATTACACAGGCAACCAACTTGGACATCTGGTGAACCGTAGGTGACACACAATACCCTGCACAAGACAGCATCACCAAGCACCACCCAGCAAAGCATCCTCTCGCCACCACACAACGACCCCCCAGTGGATATAGCAACTGAACAGGCAATTAACGTTTAGGTGTTTACCACCCCCCAGGTGATCTGTGCTAACAGACTCGGACCAGATGCAATGGGACATCTAATAACATAGCACTAAATAGTTAATACTGCTTATCAAAGAAGTTACACTTACGTTGAGCCCAACTTGGAGATCGTCCCATCCCTTCATTTCTACCATTCTTCAAAACGCACTTTTTTAAACATGTATTTTGTTTATCACAGCTGACTGAACCACCCTTCAGGTGACCGCCCAGTTACCTGACGATGAGACAGAGAGTGTGGTGAGTAGCACCAGTCGCAGCCGTCTGACCGACAGACCGCTCCACTACAGTGAGATTAAACTGGGCATCACGCAGACTCCCAGTCCTTCCAGGGTAGGCGGCTTTATAAACTCTTCTCTAGGGATTAGGAACCTTGTCTTCACTGCACTTCTTATAATTGTATATGGTGTATCTTGTTCGTCGCCTTTAACACATGTTCACGCTAGTGAGTTGTTTTCTAGATTTTAGTAAATATATTTGCTAAGCTTAACGCCTTTAATTCCAGCCGCGTAGCAGACAATCAAAACGGACCCCGCTGGCTCCCTCAAACAGACAAACCCCGACCTTCTCTCACCGATCAAACCTATCTCATAACCCTGCTGCACAGTCTCATGTCAGTAGCAACTTCAACAGCAGGGAGTTGGAAAACATGGAGAAGTACAACCATAAGAAGGCGTTGGAGGGTCTGGGGCTGAGTGAGGCGGACTTTAAGCTAAATATCCCAACCTCCCACACCGGCCGCAGCAACGTGAGTAGAAAATTCACCAAAAATAGCCTCTGTTCTTTCCGGAGATGGAGTACCTTGCAAAACTGTCCATTTAGGAAGCCGCTTATAACTGTTACGATCACTATAAAGTAATAACCTCTGATAATTTCACTTAAAATTTGTATTAAATTCTTTTGCACACCTCTACCAATCCATCCTCCAGGCGTCAATAACAGAGAGTGAGGATGACTCACTGACCAGGACAGCTCTTGAGGACACTCTGATGGATGGTGATCCTTTACAACACACTATTCTGTCTGATGACGTTCTTAGGTCTCCTCAAACTATGAGAGCTCTGGAAAAATTCCGGGCCGGGGCAAGGAAGGAACGGTTTGATGGTGAGGGGTGTTTCTTTAATTTGGCCTCACCGTAGCCTTCCAAATGCTCCCGCCATGTTTTAGATTTCCGAATTAACTACTATCTAATACTACTACTAATATTTCAAATTAAATTACTGTCGAAGACCATCATGATTTATCAATAAACCTTGAATTCATTTATCCCTCAGAAATGCCGTTTAAAATTCATTACTAAAACAATACTGTCTTGAGCAATGCTGTTAAATACGTAGCGTTTCAAGCAATGTGATGCATCACGCAAACGTATATGTCGCCGAAAATTCTCGCTTATTTCGATTTCCACTGTGGAGTAAGACGTTTTTTTACTAAATATTTACAGTTTTTAGAGTTTCCTCCCCAGTGTCCATGTAGATTTTAAAATCACAATGGCAAATAAATTTTATTAGTTTTTGTTGGTTTTGGGGTTTTTTTTTTTTGTTTTTTTTTATTTTTTTTTAATTTTTTACTTTTACTGAATTTTACACACAAGCCCACCAGCATCAACGTAAGGTGGTGATTTGGTGCTATAAGACTTTTCAAATTTGAGGGAATCAACGCCTTCTATCATGATCAGGCCTGCTCTCAGTTTCTGCTGCTTTAAGCCCTAAGATCTCGATGAGGTTAAATTACAAACTACGTGATATCGTTCAGCGGGAGATGGAGCTGGCTTACGCGCATATCAATTGCACGTGCATTCAACCCTAAATTGATACAAAGCACGCTGTAATAAACAATTTTTTTGCAGTGTGTAAAGTTTTAAAAACTTAATTCAGTAAGAGGAGCTGGCACGGTAAAGTCCTTTGCTTTTTCGTAAGTTATATAGATGCAAATGCATTTGAATTGAGTCTCGGGGGCCGCCATTAGATTTATCCAACGCGAATTTTGATTTATTTCTTTAACGCTCAGAAAATTCAACGAATTCAAAATTCGCTGTGTTAATTTGATCTGCACGCGTATTTCGGACAAATTTTAGACGTATTCCGGACAAAATTTAACAGGTTCTAAATTCAATTTTTTTCGGGCTTATTGATTGGAAGCTTCACGTATTCTTACGTACCTCTCTCGAAAATTGAATACGCCGTATTTTTAGCCGATTTTTTGACGTATTTAACAACGATGGTCTTGAGCTGCGGGCAGTCATCATATCAAGTAGACCTGTGACTAATCAATGCCAATTTCAGACCCTAATGATGAGAATTACGAGATGAAGAGACAGAACAGGATTCTTTCAGAAGAGAACCTGGCAAACCAGAGACGAGCCTACAACGCTGGTTACCGAAGACCTTTACCTCCATCGCAAACTAACTTGTGATAGCAAACCTCTTCTGCTCTTATCTTACTAAAGTGCTTATCTTTTGTGCCGTAAAATGTACGAAACATTGGAACCAATCCCCAACCCAGTATGCCAAAACCCTTTCAGAACCCTTTCGTTAATGTCCCAGAAAATATAGAGAGGAAAAGTCCATTTACTAAAAATGACGCTCATTTAAGCACTTTCGTCGGATAAAAGTATTAAGCTCTTATTTGCTTATATCAGATTGTCATCGGTCGTATGATGATAATCGCCAGACTGTGGAAGTTATGGTGAACCTCAGTGAGATTGGATTCAAGTTGGTATGCTCCAAATGTTGTGGAACAGAATTAATGACGAAACTATTATGTAGCAAAATAGGATCGTTTGAAGAACGATCGAACTAGTTTTTAATGAAAAGCAATTTTATTTGAAGAATTAGGGAGCTCGTGTAGATCCGAGGGTTAGGTGCTGTCAACAACTGCAAACTAAATCAAAATACTCTGATTCAACTGAACCTGATCATTAAACTTTTATCGCTAAGAGTTACCCTGTCTGAAATGTGTCCTGTAAATAAACTAACTGCTGACTACTTCAATTAGGTGGCTGAAACTCCTTTCAAACGCTGGATCTTGTGAATCCAGAATACTTTCAGAATTGTGACTTAATGTCCTTTTAGTGCCACTCTTTCTACCATAAATGTTAAATTCTTTCAATTTCATGATTATGAAACGTTGGGACTCGCTGTGCAAGATATGCAATTCAGCCTATTTGGTATATCAAGATTCAAGAGTGGTGAAATATATTTGGATCTAGCTTATTTGTAGATTTGTATTACATACCAAAAGTCAGCGTAGTCCGAAATGTAAATGTTGGTTGATGACAAGGTGTTAGAAATGGTGTTGGGAATAGAATCTTTTGTGGCATTCTTCATTTTATTTTGTTTTGTAATTTGTATGCTTTTTATGTAAGCTTTATGGAGGAATAAGCATGACGTGTAAATATAATTCCTGCTATACCGTATTAATTGTCAGACTATTTTCTGTACTTCAATGAAGTACTACAACGACATGAAAATAGCGACATGAAACTTATTGACCCTTCTATCATGTAGCAACAATTTAACTTTAAGTGTATTTTGTAAAACTGAATTAACTAAGTTACTTTACTACAATAAATGCCATTTACTGAAATAAGCAAATTAGTTTAGGTTGATCCTTCATTGATGTACATACTACTATTATTATAATATATCAGAATTCAGAAGTAGCAATTGAGAAGTTCAGTAGTAAGTTTTGATATGATTTTTGTGGTTTCAACAAATTGGTTTAATACTAAACGCATGTTATTTGTATTTTATTTTAAACTTAAAGATTGGGGGTTTCAGAAACGCAGAGCCAGATAATTTTAGCAGAGTTGATTGTTTTGTTACGAACTTGTTTTTGGAAGAGCTTTGATGACTTCTGTTTGGCCAAATTATTTCAGAATATTTTCCACTTCTAATAAAATTTTAGACGGTTACTTTCAGTTAGTAATTTTGTTCACTTCTGTTTATATGAAAACGCTTGACAAAATCCTTGAGTTTAATTTTTTTTTAAATAAATTTTTACCAGCACGGCTATAAGTAGGAGCCACAGCAAGTGGCAGAAAACGTCTAGCAACAAATTTATGGACGAATTCTTGAAAAGGGGTTTTAAGATTTACAGTATAATTATAGATCGGTACTGGGAGTGAGATCTCCGAAGAAAGTGTTTAAAAAGAGGAGGCCGACTTAGCTAGGGGGACCCCCGATTATCACGTAATCTTAATTTCCTGTTTAATGATTTAAACAGGAAATTAAAAATCGGAACTAAATGCATAACGGGAAATAGTAGAGGAGATTAGGTCAACTAACAAACTTTTAAGTCATTTGAGAACATTGACCGATATTGTCTTGTTTAAAAAACACTAAAGACTCATCTCTTTGAAAAAGTACTCATGTAAGTATCATATAATATCTTTCTCATAAAAACCATACTTCATAAAGAATGTATATATATATTCACGAGTCGCTTTCAATGGCTTAATACTGAATTCTTTTTGGCTATAAGTATAAGTATAACTATAAAGCGATGCATCAAGTTTTAGGTAGGTATTCTTAGTATTACTGTAGTGGCATCAAAGCTCAAAATTGTGCTGCCAACACGCTTCAGTGACAAAACAGAGCTGTCACGTGGGGGTAGCGTCTTTGTGTCCTCCGTCAGAATCCAGCTTGAACATCTTGTGTGCGTAATACTGCAGAGAGAATCAGACTTAATGGGAGATAAATATCGACATCTTCCAGAAAGACCCTAGACACCAGGATTTGAACTAGTAAATAATCTATTGTGAAAATTCACCAAACAATTAACTGGATTATTTTGTTGAAAAGTGTCTGAACACAGAATCAAGAATAATTATAAAAGTATAATATATTTTAAATACCTATATAGTCTCAGCTGCATTTTGTGACCAGCTTTAGCAGCTTTTTCAAGGTATTGTCTCTCTTTCGTCGTCTAAAATATAAGTAATAGTATTGACTATGACGGCTGGGTTAGACTCAGATATATTGTGAAAGTTAAAATGATCATGATTTCAAGCCCAAGGAATACCCACAAAATTCTCCTAACCTGTTGAGCCTGCATAAGCAAGAACTGAAAAACTTGATCATTAGCTCCCTTCTGATGGGACAACTCGCCGTGTTTCAGGCGCGTACGTTCCTCTATCAGGTCCTCCGACTCAGCTCGCTTCCACTCCGCAACATGAAGCGCTCTGCCCATGCACCGCGCCGTGGTATGCTGTAATAACGATGTGTCACGTGATATGACGGTAAATTGTACAAATTAGGTGAATTTAAAGAGTTATTAAAAATTTTTAGATAATCTTATCTGTATGAATATGATATTGATAATCATCGTGGAACGGTCCTGGATTTCATTACTACTACTAGAAGGACCTAGTTTTAACAATCAACAAAGTGCAGTGGTATAGTACCTCTGGTACCTAATTTTATTTTTAATTCTCATAATCTGATGTTGAAGGCCACGTGGCAAAATATAATTTTTGTTCATTATAACGGGAGATAACGCACCGAATTGTAAAGGGCAGGCGAAAGTTTGTGAACTTGAAGCAAGGGCTTGATTTGTTGATTGGCGTTTAAAAAATGTAAAACGGGAAATATAAACATAAAATTTAAAATCGGAACTATATTAGTACCTACTACGGGAAATGCTTAAGGGGGGGGGGGGGGGGGGGGGGGGGGGGGGGGGGGGGGGGGGGGGTTCACCCTGATTTTTTGTGAAACTTGATCTGATTTCGAGATAGCAGTTGACCAACAAACTAGGACCAGTGACCGAACTTTTGAGGGGGTCCCGGACTCCAACCGCCAAACGGTGCCCGCGGGGCAGCCACGCCCATATTTTGTCCAAATTAGGCCCAATTTAGCCAAATACCCTGAACATGCCCAAAATCCAGATTTTAGGTGCTCTACTTGTAGCTAGTGGTCCTCTGAACTCGTATATGAATTTTCATCAAGATTGGACAAAAATGACTGAGTTATGAGCAAAAAACCATATGACCATATTTGGGCATACGCACCAAATTTGATCGATTTTGGCCCATAAATTGGTCAAATATCAATATTTTTTAATGAAACCAACTTTATATGGACGGTAAGCCTATACTACACATTATCTATGATTATCAGCTCAGTATCTACCTAACTGTGGATTCTGTGTTCAAATAATCGCAAAAAATGAACAAAATTGCCCATGATATCTCAGTTCGCGATATTTGCAAAACTGATTTCGCTCAAAACAATAGAACTCAATAGGGTTTCAATATTTTTACATGAAAGGAGAACCTTTCCGTCGTTAAAGTACGGCACAATAAAGTTCTCATAGTTGTATTGTCATATTCTGGACAAAAAGTTCGAAATGGAAAAATTTTTGAAAAAATTTCAACGGACTTTAACTTGGACGGACATTAATTGAACGGACTGTATTTGAACGGACATTAAGATGAACGCTAGGGCCTCCAGCGTTCAAGTAATGTCCGTCCAAATAAGGTCCGATAAGGTAGTCCCCGCCAACATGACAAACTTGTTCCAGCCTCTAGATATGACGGTAAATCGTGTTGCCGAGGACATTGTCCGACGTTGTTATAGCTCATATTACTCAGGGGCGGTAATGAAACAGTGCTAGGAAAGCTCCACGTGATGTTAAGGTTAACCTTAAGTTGTCTAAGATAAAACCACTTCACGCCGAATGGCTTGTAAAAGTTAACACTGAAATGCAGGACCGGGGTAGTTTGATAAAAAATGTTTCCATAAAGCTAGAAATCACTGATGCTTTAAGCATGGACTATTTCATGCACGAAAACCCATTTGACGAAGATGATATGTGATATTAGAAACTGATCATGTACACATATTTTAACATTTTTACTGCTTAAGGGGGGGGGGGCCAATGGATATTTTTTTGTGAAACTTGATTTCGAGATAGTAGTTGACCAACAAACTAAGACCAGTGACCGAACTTTTGAGGGGGTCCCGGACCCCAACCGCCAAACGGTGCGCGCAGGGCAGCCACGCCCATATTTGGTCCAAATTAGGCCCAATTTAGCCAAATACCCTGAACATGCCCAAAACCAAGGTTTATGGTGCTCTACTTGTAGCTAGTGGTCTCCTGAACTCGTATATGAAATTTCATCAAGATTGGACGAAAAATGACTGAGTTATGAGCCAAAAACCATATGCCCATATTTGGGCATACGCACCAAATTTGGTAGATTTCGGCCCATAAATTGGTCAAATATCAATATTTTTGAATGAAACTTACTTTATATGAAAGGTAAGCCTAAATTACATATTATCTGTAAGTTATAGCTTTATATCTGTTTAAATGTGGATACTAAGGCGAAAAAACCACAAAAAATGAACTAAATTGCCCATATCTCGGTTCGCGATATTTGCGGAATTGATCTCATTAAAATTGTAACAACTCAATCAGTTTTCAAAATTTTTGCATTAAATTTTCGGAATCGACTCGAAATCGCATTTCCACCTTATTTTAAATACGGATTTTTGATTTAGGCCTCCAAAAAAATTTGGCGGCCAAATTCCAAAATTATCTCACAAAAATTCAGAATTTGGCCGCCAAATTTCGATTCCGAAAATTTCATGCAAAAATTTTGAAAACTGATTGAGTTGTTACAATTTTAATGAGATCAATTCCGCAAATATCGCGAACCGAGATATGGGCAATTTAGTTCATTTTTTGTGGTTTTTTCGCCTTAGTATCCACATTTAAACAGATATAAAGCTATAACTTACAGATAATATGTAGTTTAGGCTTACCTTTCATATAAAGTAAGTTTCATTCAAAAATATTGATATTTGACCAATTTATGGGACGAAATCTACCAAATTTGGTGCGTATGCCCAAATATGGGCATATGGTTTTTGGCTCATAACTCAGTCATTTTTTGTCCAATCTTGATGAAATTTCATATACGAGTTCAGGAGACCACTAGCTACAAGTAGAGCACCATAAACCTTGGTTTTGGGCATGTTCAGGGTATTTGGCTAAATTGGGCCTAATTTGGACCAAATATGGGCGTGGCTGCCCTGCGCGCACCGTTTGGCGGTTGGGGTCCGGGACCCCCTCAAAAGTTCGATCACTGGTCTTAGTTTGTTGGTCAATTGCTATCTCGAAATCAAGTTTCACAAAAAAATACCCATTGGCCCCCCCCCCCCCCCCCCCCCCTTAATGACTCTTTTCTTACTTATTGTATAAAAAATGGATTTAAAAATCATTTGCTGAAATTAAAAAACGTCAAAAAAACGTCAAACAAATTCGGATTTTTGATGGTTTTGAATGCCTTCGAGCGTTCATATTAATGTCCGTTCATAATTATGTCCGTTCATGTATTGTCCGTCTAAATAAGGTCCGATAAGGTAGTAAACAATCTATTTGCTATTAGTATTGTGAAAATTAACCAAACATGTTAGACACTTATCTTGTTGAAAAGTGTCTAAACATAGACTTAGTAGTATGTTGGCCTGACCTTCTGGATTTCCCTGATTAAAACATTGAATAAAATTAAACAAATTTTCCTAGCAAGTTTGCGAAAAAAGTACCAAAAAATGCTGAAATCAGTTAAATCTACAGAGCCAATACTTGTCAGGTTCTACCTTTTCATGAGTTAGACTCAAATATATTGTGAAAGTTAAGATGATCATGATTTCAAGGAATACCCACAAAACTCTCCTAACCTGTTGAACCTGCATAAGCAAGAACTGAAAGACTTGATCATTAGCTCCCTCCTGATGGGATAACTCGCCGTGTTTCAGGTGCGTACGTTCCGCTATCAGGTCCTCCGACTCAGCTCGCTTCCGCTCCAACATAAAGCGCTTTGCCAGCGCACCGTGGTATGCTGTAATAAGGAAGTGTCACGTGACGGTAAATTGTACAAATTAGGTGAATTTAAAGAGTAATTATAATAATCTTATCTGTATGATAATCATCTTGGAACGGTCCTGGATTTCATTACTAGAAGGACCTAGTTTTAACAATCAACAAAGTGGTACCTCTGGTACCTTATTAATATTTTATTTTCAATTCTCATAATCTGATGTTGAAGGCCACGTGGCAAAATATAATTTGTGTTCATTATAACGGGAGATAACGCACCGAATTGTAGAATAGAAGGCAGGCGGAAGTTTGTGAAGCAAGAGCTTCCTCGGCGAGAATTGAACTCTGTGTCGCTGCAACTAGCGTAAATTCTTTACCTGAATTAAATGATCCGTAAGCATAGACATAATGTCATAACTAAAACACCTGCCAAATATTTTTCAGGAAGTTAAATTCAAGCAACATTCAATCTTTAAAGTGGCAACAAGGTTTAATCCGAAAATGAGAGTCAAATAAAATAAGATAGTATAAGTATAACTATAGGGTACTAACTACTACTAAGTCTAGACTACATACTATGAAGTGTACACTGTACGTGTATGTGTCATTTGGACACTTTGTGGATAAAGTGTTATTCGCCAGCTCAAATAAATGTTTGGGAAATCTAGACTCGAAAACTTAGAAACTAATAAAATGTTGCAAGTTTACATACTGAAGTCTGAACATACCGAAGTCAGTATCTGTCAGTGACGTCACTATGGTCACACCACCAACTTCGTGTGCTCGACCAAGGAAGAAGATCTCAGCTGTAAGCAATGTTATCTCCGGTAGGAAATAAGTCAGGGCCTGCTGGGATGTAATCTTTTAGATTAACAATATTTAATTGGCACGTTTACAAAGTGGAAATTAGAGTGGTATGGTATTATAAATCAGTCATAACTATGCAGCTGTTCCCGTAGAATAAAATTAAACGATGTCATTTTCCTGAAAGAAGATTTGATCAAGATATCATCAATTAATATTCAATTTGAACATAATATGTTCTAACACATGTCCTAATAAAATGAACAATTGAAAGCAGGTAAAAAGAAAAATTAGGTAATACGTATTATTTGTAACCTCCCGTAAAAAATGTTCACTGTTTAAGATTAAATAACAGTGTTCAATTCAAAATGATTAACGGCCGTCGTAACACAGCTTGATTTATGCAATATTAGCTGGGCAAGTAAAATTAAGTCCCGACGAAAAATATGTCTCTTATCTAATCTCCATCGGTTCAGCCCATGATCGGATCTGCAATTCGTATCAACCAAGCGAGAGTTAACTCTTTGTGTTGTTGCCACATTCGCCGTCGTTGTAGGATTCTCTAAAGTGTTCCACAATCCCCTTTGTCATTTCAACTCCGATAAACTGGCCTGATATGGTTGGAGAAATTGTAGAGTTGATAGACTCACCGAACAATGAAGGTAATCTGTTGGTAGAAGGCAAAACTCCATACTCAAATTGAAACTTGATAACTAAATCTGGTTGGTGAACTACGTCTTCTTTTTACCAGCCATATATATTAAGAAAGGCCATTACAAAAGTGGAAATTCTGGTTTAACAAAGTTATTGGTACGCCAAAATGAAATAAAACGCATTTTACCTCTAAAGTTTCATCTGAAGCAAAGTAAAAAGTTTTGATAACTTACTGAGTATCTCCAAAAAGGATGAGAAATGGTCGAAGACGCCGCACATAGATTCCGAGTGGTACTCCCGAAAGTGGTTGACTACCCCATCAGTCATGTTAACGCCAACCAATTTACCTGAACAGTCTTAAATTAATTCAATGCATTGCAGGGAAAATTATAGGTTAGTTTGTATGTTAGAAATATACAGAGAATGTCTTAATGAAGCAGTTATTTTAACAAAGAAGATGACTCACTTAACATGTCCCAGCCTGTTGTCAGCTCTTCGTACATATCATCTGAGAATACCTTGTTGTAATACGGCGCTGTAAACAACACATCCCACCGAGTGATATTCTCAAACTTTCTGGCACCGTCTAGCTGGGACTTTGTCTTGTTAAGATTCGCAGAACAAGTTTCCAGTTCCTCTACTGTTTGGTTGAGCTCAGCTCCCAGTCGACCTCTGACAGTGTCTAGTTCAGCCTGTGACTCGTTAAATCGGGTAGTTTCAGTCTCAAGTTTATCCTCAGTCCTGTTCAACTGTCCAGTGACAGTTTCATACTGTCCAGTGACAGTTTCTAACTGTCCAGTGACAGTTTCTAACTGTCCAGTGACAGTTTCTAACTGCTCCTTTATCATCTGCAGCTCTGTCTCTGTTTCATTCAGATTCGCTTGTGACTCACGCGTATTATTCAATGTTTTTTTACACCCTGTATCAGTATCCGTCACAGACCCACTCCTAGACTTCTTCAGAATATCCAACCACCGTAACACTCTCGTCTCAGAAAGTCCATCCAAGTCAAAACACAACCCACCATCAGCTATCTTCCTAATTGTAGCAGCACTCAGCACCTCGGCAAACATATTATACTGGTACAGCTCACCACCAAATATTCTATTAGCACTATTAGTCCAAGTGCTAGAGGCTCTGCCAAACCACAACTGTCCACCCGCGGTAAGTGATTTCCCTGATGCTGTCTGGTCTGTTGCCACGAGTTCACCATCCAGATACAGGTTACTTGTTGTTGAAGATAGAGACCAGGTCAGGCAGAGATTAAACCACTTACCGGTGGGTGTGGCAAACTTACTTGATGCGCTACTCAGACCACCATCATGTACTACATACGTCTGGGCCCCATTAGCTGTTATAATAAGATCATTTCCACCAGAGCTGTAGTAGTCTGCTACCATTGGGTAGGAGGAGGAGGTGTAAATACGCTTTATCCACATGCACGTAGAGAACGAGTTGCGGAACGGGGATATATCAAACCTAAATGTCACATAGTCACTGTTGCTAGTACCAAAGTGTAAGGCATTATACCCTTTATCATCTTCATTAGGCTGGACGGAAGCTACTAAAACCAGCACAACTAAGAGGAGCAACATGTCGGCGGAGTGAAGGTAAGAAATAACGCTAGTTCTGTTAATGGGAAACAGTGCCCTGTTCGAGGTGTAAATTCTAGAAGATTCTAGAAGATGGAGACTTTCTGGAGATGAAGTAAATACTTTAACCGTGAACCTGCACTGAATCGGAGAATATTAATGTTATCTATCATCGAACAAAGTAGCACGACAAATGTCATACAGCTGGCACAAACCTCAAACCAGATAACTGGGCTGCATATTTTGATGTTAATTCCTTAATTCATTTGTTCATTGTTGTTCAGACGTCGTGTAGCCTTCACAACGCTCGTAAGACAAATGAATCTAATTACGGCATTATAGATATATAGGTTTCTTTAGATAATAAGGTTTCTACATTGTAAAGTGCCTCTCAATCTGTATTTAAAAACGTTTTATACAGTACTTTGTTTCCAAAATATGAAGTGTGGTAAAATGGATAAATTATTCCTCTATTACAGTCGAACCTCTTTATACCGTGCCTCTCTATGCCAGGTACCTCGATATGCCATATATTAAGTGATTTTAAGGTACATATATAACAAGTTACTAGATAAAATGACTTTTAATGTGACTTAAGTGATTATAAGTTAATGTGAATAAAAAATTGATATAAATAATAAATACTGATTTGAATTTTGAGAGTAATTGAATGAAGGTATTTGATTTATTTGCGATATTAGATGAAAATTTATGATCCTATATGACGACATATTAGATATCAGATAAAAAAGATGTGATCTTGTTTGTGTACATCGATAATTTATGAGGGAGGAGGGACACATTTTCTCAATTTATAAAAACTCCAATGACTAATACAGTTAACCAAAACCTAACTCTTAGTTCTGAAAATTATTCTCTCGGAGGCTGGATAAAGGAGGTACGGACTACGGACTACAGACTGTAAAAATTTAAATATTTATTTAAACTACTTTCTGCAGCTAAGTTATTTGCAACTAAGTTGCGAAAGAGAGCCAACTTTTTGGATCATATGGCCCCTTTGTTCAGACAATAACAAAATTTGAACACTTAAAAAGATATTTTTCAGATAACTATTTAGTTTTACCATTCGTAGCTAAGTGAAAGTCATCTGCAGATTGTCTGCACAATAGTCACCCATAATCCTTTTCTCGCTCATTTTTCAAACAAAACTTTTCGCACTTCCCCGCACTTGTGTGTAGAATCATCACATTTATTATGCCACACCCTACTTTTGAGCTTTGGCGAGTATAGTAATTATCGCATTGCCATTTGTAACAAGACCAGGGCCCGCGACCAAATTTTTGAGGGGGTCGCGGACTCCGAGTGGAATGTGTAACTTGATAGTCGATCAACCATATCACCTTATTAGATTAACAGTTCCGAAAGGTTACCCGTTACCCGGGTATTCTCAATATGACTTGAGGAATCTTACAACTTTATCTTGTATCATCTGTCATCACATTGACCTATGATGTTACCCTCACGTCAGATTGTCTTTGATTTTATTTCTAGTCATATCACCCTTGAAATAATTACCAGTGTTCTGTATTAAAGGCCCCTTCTGTTCTCAACGGTTCCAATTTATTGCTGTACACAGTTGTTTTATTTGACCAATTTATTCAAACACTCCAACACATTGATCAAGAAAAATATTAATTTGGAATGTGCTACTATTTTCTTTGCAGCTTTGAAGACTTGAAATTATCGGGAAGGTTGCGTTGCAAAAAACTCGCTATGTTTCATATCACGGAAAACTGAAATAATAAACTGAGTCAAAATCTGTATTACTATTCACGATTTGCCGCGAAATATGGGAGAAATCTTGATTATACCACTTGAACATTGATATATCTACCACTATTACATTTGACCCACTTCCTCAGTAATTATTTCTGCGATTCTTAGTCTATAAGTACAGGGTGTACCACAAAAAGTGTGACTTTTTTGTATATCATGCTTATTCTTTTTATCAACTGTCACCTAGCAAGTTATTTAAAACTGCTTAGATCTATGTAGTGGATTAATTTAATGAGTCTCATGTAATGTTATTGATGTTTCTTTCATTCAAATTTCGGATTGTTTCTGAATAGACTCAGTGAAGACAGATTCTAATGGAAATAAATAGCTGAATAACGTATCAACATTTCTACGTCATACTCATATTATTTGCTATATATTAGTGATGAAAGTATTAAAACTTAGATCTAGATTAAGTAGACGAGTGTACTTTATTTTCTGTTAAATGCTAAATAAATTTGTGGCTTGATTATCTGGCTTAGTATTTTTGATGATTGGGTTGTTACAAATTATAATACTATCGTAATATAGTTTCAACACGCCAATAAATTTCATAAAATTTCATTCAGGCACTACAACATATAATAGTAATACCTTCTCGATCCTTTCGAGCTGTACAAATAATTTCTATTCTGCTTGCTAAAGACGTTAATAACATAACATTCATTTGATACTTTCGAACAGGAATGTCGGTTCAAAAAACAAAAAAGCTTGAGAAGGTTGATTTCAAAGAGGAGATGACAGACGACCAGCAAGTTAACACTATTCCAACCTGGTTATCATCAGTATGCACTTGTAAATGTGAGAAGGATGCCGAAAATAACAATTTTAAAGCTGAACCTGAAGGCGTACCGGCTGATCAGGATGAATTTAAATCAGAACACTTTAAAAGCAAAGTCGCAATCGGTGACGTTGTACAAATGGAAAATGTCAAGATTTTCTGTGGTGCCCTGACTAATAGTAATGCTAAACCTATGGATTGCAAAGAATTTCAGTGTGATAATTGCAATCTTCCGATCACACCATCAAACACAAGGCTTGCTACAGGAAAGTCCTCATCTTTTCCTGTACATACCGAGCCTGATCGTGGCAATGTGGGTGACGCAATTGGAGAAGCTATTCTGTCCGCTAAGAAGTCTGCCAAGCTTGCTAACAAACGTCACAAGTGTGCACTGTGTGACTACAGGACTAATATTCCTGGTATGTTAGAAAGACACATACGGACACACACTGGAGATAAACCATATTCATGCAGTTTGTGTGAATTTAAATCAAGTAGATCGAGCAGTCTTGCTACTCACATACGGACACACACCGGAGAGAAACCCTATTCTTGCAATTTGTGTGATTATAAATCGAATCAATCGAGCAGTCTTGCTATTCACAAACGGACACACACGGGAGAGAGACCTTATTCGTGCAGTTTGTGTGATTTTAAATCGATTACAAGGAGCCACCTAGCTATTCACAAATTGAAACACACAGGAGAGAGACCACATGTATGCAGTTTGTGTGATTTTAAATCAAGTACATCGAGCAGTCTTAATACTCACAAACGAACACATACCGGAGAGAAACCTTATTCATGCAATTTGTGTGATTACAAATCGAATCAATCGAGCAATCTTGCTAGACACGAACAGACACATACGGGAGAGAGACATCACCACTGTACTGTCTGTGACTATAAAGCGAGGACAGCTGAAACTTTGAAAAAGCATATGTTGACTCATAATAGGCAGAATGGCTGTGAATATTGTGACTGTAATCCTAGGTCAAAGGACGCTTTGTTAAAACATATACGATCGAGGCATATACTACCTCACCTAAACAAAGGTCGTAATCATAAAGAAAGTTGAATCCCAACAAATTTCTGGAATGGGCCATATATAATAGAATTTTGTTGGTTAATTTATTGATAGGAATTATTATTAAAAGCATGTTTGATAGATTTAAGATAGAGTTGTTGAACGAACGCTATAATACGAATATTCAACAATTCGTTATATAAATAATAATAATAATAATTAAGTTGAACTTATTTATTCCATTTAAATTGGTGGTATGGATGCCTTAAATATCACGATATATACCAATTCAATCTGAATCAGATACCGTGAGATTTAATAGAATATGATAACTTAGACTCAGTCAGACTTCAATTAATATATATATATATATATATATATATATTTTTTTAATTAATGCGAATATATTCGCATTAATTACAAAATCTACATTAAGATACGATTAAACATGAGTTATAAAATTGCAGATGGTATAAATAAACCGTATTAAATCAGTTATGGCTCCCAGAGCTCTACTTTATCCAGTGTGTCGATTTTAAGTATATTTTTCTATACTGTATCGGCAAAAATTTGGTCGGCTAGAATATGAGAGCTAACGACTACGTTCATACTCATAGTTTTTGTTGCTAAACGTTTTTTACCGATCAGTGTAGACGAGAGTACTTTATTTTTCCGTTAATTGCTAAATTGTAAATAAAATTGGTTAGATTAAACGTTTAGTATTTTTGATGATTGAGTCGTAACAAATTATAATATTATCGTACTATAGTTTCAACACGGACAATTCATTCCTTCATAAAGTGTCGTTCAGGCATTACAACATCCAATAGTAATACTAATACCTTCGCATTCCTTTCGAGCTGTACAAAAAGTTGTTGTTCAATTGTGTTTGCTAAAAACATAAACAACATTCATTCGACATTTTTAATCAGGAAAGTCAGTTCAAAAACAGAAATGTTTGAGGGGGTCGATATCAAAGAGGAGATGACAGACGACCAGCAAGTTAACACTACTTCAACCTGGTTATCATCAGTATGCACTTGTAAATGTGAGAAGGATGCCGAAAATAACAATTTGAAAGCTGAACCTGAAGGCGTACCGGCTGATCAGGATTAATTTAATTCAGAACACTTTAAAAGCAAAGTCGCAATCGGTGACCTTTGTAAAAATGGAAGATGTCAAGATTTTCTGTGGTGCCTTGACTAATACTAAACCTATGGATTGCAAAGAATTTCAGTGTGATAATTGCAATGATCGTCCACTCACACCATCAAACACAAGGCCTGCTACAGGAAAGTCCTCATCTGTTCCTACACCTACCGAGCCTGATCGTGGCAATGTGGGTGACACTATTGGAGACTAGCCACCCCGTTCGTTAAAAATTCAGCTAAGCTTGCTAAC